AGCTGTTTCGTTTGTATTCATGAATCCCATAACTCATGTCATTCTATTCAGTAATCCATTCGTGTGTCATGATCTGTACTTTGATGCTAAATATATTTGACACTATCTATACTAAAATTACCTACAGGAAGAGAGTTTTTTCAAGGAGCTGGTGCACTCTGGCGCGTGAAAAGAGTTCTCGGTGTCAATGAACAGCGATCGATGGCTTACATTCATTAAGGAGTGAATAATGAAAAGAGGAAGATGAAACCATCGACATTGGAAGGAACATGACACAACTCTGATGAATTAGTACATAAAGGCTACTCCGAAGGGAAGGGAAGGTTTCCTCTTTCCAAGGGGGTGGATTAACGCGCCTTTTCACAAGATGGTTTCACGTGCTTTGTCCAAGCAAAACATGAGCTATTCAGCATTGGAGTTCGACTCCTACTGATGCTGGAGGTCAAGTCTATCGGCGCGAGAGTTTAGGTAGACATGAGCTGCGAGTGGTTTACTTGAAGAATTATTTGGTGTGCACTCAAACATGCCCAGTAATTTGCATCGACGTGTTCCTTATTTTCTACAAAAACTTCGAATGTCACGAAGTCGTTGTATCTTCACGGCCAATTACTGCGTCGGCCTTCCTTGCACCGCACCCATAAAATAATGACGGCTACTTTTTTTGCCTGCTAAGTTGGGACTTGTCCGTCTAGAATATCGCTTTATGTGTCGTAGCAGCCAATTTCTGCATGTGTCGGCAGTCCACTAACCTCACTCTAAACAAGGCTTTATACAGACACCAGGCTGAGAACAAGGTGACACCGCGCTGAGCGCCTGCAAGTGGCGCGCTGAATTTATGGTGGAGTCATTTTGAATTCCTGCAAAAGCTGTGCTGCTGCAAGCTAATATATAATGCGTTTAATTCCTTCAGACACCCAGGAAAAATTAGATAGTCAGATTCAACTTGGTTCTAGTCAGTATTTGAAATTGTATGAGAGACATCTACGGCTAATCTGTTCGAACGCCATCCAAATGTTTCAAATAAACCCTAATATAGAAGAATAATGAAATAAAGTATATATAAAATGCTGTAAATTAAATATGCATAATTACTGCTGTTATTCAATTAGTTTCTTAGAGAAGTAGAAACTACGTGATGGCTGGTCAAAGCTCCACCGAATTGACGTTCATTAAAAAAAGTTTCAGTCGTTATTACGGGAGCTCATATCGAACAACTCCATGGATATCAAGCAAGTCGACGCAATGACGAACACAAGATTCATAAAAAACATTATACATCCCCTTACAACAAATGAGCTTTGGAAATTTAGGCTGATTCGGGGGCAGGATGCATACATTAAAGGCCGGAGGATACATGCGGACGCACGCCGTGTCCGCTCACCGCAGGGTCATTCGATGACTGTGATGAATTACAGACTGCGTTCCAATCACTGCTCGAAGTGTACTCGGCTAAAAAATCCTTATCGTTAATATTAGGCGTAAGTAAAACCATAATAATATGCGATTAATTGATTGAAAACATATGTTAATCCCTATCACATTGATTAGGCCCAAAACGTCTCGCATTTCAATTACCATGGCTTTTAAATGGTGGTGTTAAATCTCACAGGCTTATAACTTGATATTCTGGCCAACTAAAACCTAATAATGGTTTGGTGACAACAATATATTGGCTTCCAGGATTTTTACATAACAGATCCAATATTTATGCAAAACACGCCTGGAACAAAATTTTGGTGTCGTTTATTCAGCACCTAGATTGGTGCCGTGCCATGAATTAAAAGTCATCGCTGTCATGAACTCCCAAGTTAAAATGTTGCAGGCAATTGCTTTATTGCAGTTGTTCAAACTATTATTTGAATCTACACCATCACTTCCATGTCGTTAATGTTGTCGTTCTGCATTAATGTTGCTTTATTTTCAGCGACTAAATATTTTAACATTATTTTTATTTCTTTCTGGTATTTAAAAATGTTACCAATATCCAGCTTGATATGATTAGCCAACTTGGACAAGTTTTGGCAAAAACACATGAAATGACATTTATTGTACTTACATTTAAGACAAAAACTTTTAAGCGTTGACTTTTTGCGGTAGGATGTTCGGATAATTCGGTAGAGGATAAGAAATACTTAATTAAAGTTGCAGCAATATTCAGTGAATGCATGATTTCTTAATTCATCAACTCTATTTTCTATATATACGCGCATACTGAAAAGATTTAGAGTTTCAAGCCATTATAGGTCGAAGCTTTCTTATCAAACATTTATTGAGAGATTTGTTTGCCGCAACATGATATCCTAAACAGCTCACTTAGCTCGTGACATTCACGTCACTCATTTGCTAGTTAACAGAGAGATTGCATCGATTGAACCTGCATTTGTCGTAAAGGTCATGACATTTAAATGCGAGGATTCTGGTATTTCTATTCGTATTTCAGGTCCCGAGGTAATTGCATTTCGATGAAACACATACGAGTGTCACGACTGCTCTGCCAATGCTTACTCTGAATATGTTATTACTGAAATATTGCACACTTTGAAATAGAGTCCTTTACAGATGTTGCGTAAATTGATTGAAAACTTCAGCTTATTAAGCCACTTATGAATCGGTAAACGATAAATATCAAAGAATCTCATTTTTTCATCTCTAATAAAGCTAAAATTCCTTTGAAATTTGGACAGTAAATAAATAAATTAATTAACCCCTTACCACGTTCCACTGAATTTTTAAACTAACAATGGTGTTTGACTCCCGATAATTTTTCCTTTATAAAGATATGGTGAAAATTTGTGCTATCTACTTTGTTTTTTTTAATCCCTTAAAAATTTGTCACCAAAACAATCAAGTGATCTTAGTACTTCTGGGATTGCATTTTTATTTTGTATTTTTTACTGACCAAGGTCAACTGCACTCACCTCGGGTGACAAAACTCGGGATATTTTTGTTTTGCTTTATCTTAATTATATCTGAGTATTTTTATAAACAATTTTAAAAGACCACAATATAGATTGTTTCCCAGCAAAAAACGTTGGACAGCTGACTTTGAAACATTAAAAAAAACATAATGTACTTAATAAAATAATTAAATAATATATTAATATAATACAAAAAATAATACTCGATACTTTCTGAGAATCCCGACATAGCCTAGTAGGAAATGTGGACGGTATTTTAAAGAGTATTCGAAGAGTTGGACTGTTTTTGACCAACCCGAAGTACTTTATTTAGGGATAGCTTCCAGGAATAAACGATACTCCTCAGTTACCGATGATAGCAAGTAGTAGTACCAATAATGGTTTGCTATTTCGCACCTTAGGTCAAAATATGACATCGCCAGCGAAGCAGAATGTTTCAATTATTCAAAATCTTATAATAATCATCACCCACAAGGGGCGGAAGGTCTCAATTGTATAGTTCGCTGAAGCTGGCTTAAAAGAAGCAGCGCTAGCATCTCAAAGAGAAGAAGTGACAATTAGGTACAGGTGCCAAGTAACAGAAACTAATACACTCGAACAAGAGGTCGCTTACACGGGACGTCGGCCGCCCGCACGAGAGAGGCAGAGAAGGGAAATGTAAGGTATCCTACCTACATAATAACTTAACCCCACAACTGAGACCTGCAGTCAGACACCGCGAGCTCAGCGGTGGGGCGCTCAGGAACAATCCCCCTATAGGAGCGCGAAATCTCATAGGACTTTTGACGAGCACAGACACGCGTTAGAAGTCCCCCCTGAGGGGATACCAATAATAGCAAACATTTTTGCTCAAAATGAACAAATCCAAAAACATGTCTCAAAAATACTACCATGAATGAAAGCAACGCACGACGCATTATTTTCTGAAGTACATTCACATTTTTGAAGGCAGCGCACGGCAGTGAAGGGATCGTTATTGATGGCTCGCATTATTTTCTTAATACATCCACGTGAATGAAAGCAGCGAATGGCAGTGAAGGGATCAGTATTGATGGCTTGCATTAGGCTCAACCATAGCCGTCCCGACCGGACGATCCGTCTGTATGGAACGGTCTCTGTATGGCCCATCTCTGGAGTTTCAGAGTCGCTAGAGCCTCCACAAAGAAGGTCAGAAGTTGATGGCTCTCGTATATTTCAGTTTCATGACGCTTGAATGGATGATTGAGTATAGAGATCGGCTGATGAATAGCCAATGTCGTAACATTTTCAGGAATATTAAAATAATTTCAATCCGTTTAAGATGAACGTACCTAACTCCCAATTATTTGTAAGTGAGGGGTATGGAAATGGCAAAATTAAAAATCGAGAAATAAACCAACAATAAAAATTCCTTCAACAGATGCCGGTAAAAGTAGCAGGACCAAAATTTCAAGTTTGATAATTTCATGCAGATCATGGAAGGTTAATGTTTTCTTAGATTCGTGAACCTCACGTAACATCTCTAGATTTGAGTTACAATTGATTTCGCAAACTTCCACAATTGGATATATTAAATCTCTATAAGTACCTTCATAAAAATGAACGTTTTCTTCAGCAACCTATGTGAACGCTATAGAGATCGGTTTAAACGTCTTACATTCGCGTCTGCCAAGTAGGATTCACAAAACATTTGTATTATTCATAAATAGCAAAATAATTAATTAAGAAAATGACTCAGTACAAATAACGCGGCAACAATAATAATGATAAAAGCAGTGCAACGCAATTGATTTGATGATCATCATATTGTATGTGGCGCATCCGGAATAAAAGTGTCATATCTCAATACATTTTTCAGAAAATCTCAAAGGGTAAAAAAAATTCAGGAATTTAACAAGTCACGCGTTCCTGTGTCAGCAAAGTAGGATCTTGAGGCTGTAGTCGTCGCTTCTGAAAAGCCGACAATACCTAAAACGATTTTAATTATTAGTCTCTAAGACTCGGTAATTGAAACGTCCAAGAAATACCGTCGAAGAATTTATATTGATATAAAAATAATGTGAAGCAAATTTGTCACATATACATTGAACATTCATTACTTACCTCATTAAAATTTTATATTCGTAGAATTGAGGAGGTCAGTTTAAATTTTGACATTCCTTCACATGGATGACGAGTTACGTTAGCTTTGAAACTAAACGGTAATAATTATATAACTTCGAGATGGCAAAATTTTCCACCTAAAGCAGGTATACGCACAGCTAATTCCGGAAGAGCTAAACACTTCCGCATCTCGTTTCCTGAACGGAAATTTACATAAATGTTAGGCTTGCGAATATATTGAGGTTCTGATTGATGACATATTAAAATCTTATGATTACTTTCAGCTTTAACACCACCAGCTTCCCGGACTGTAATGACCAGGAGGAGCGAAGACAAGCACGTTATGCTTCCCTCACGTCCAGCCGTCAACTGAGGGAGTGCGAGGGATGAATGAGAGGCAGCGAGAGCCACGTAACAGGTGGTGCGCTGAACTAAAGCTGCTCTCCTCCTTGAAGCTCAAACCAAATTTTCGTTCAACTAGCGTCCGTTATATTAACGTACTTTGATGTTATTTTATAATTTTCAATTTCAATTATTTTAAAATTTGGCATCTAGAAAGTCTGGCATTTCCTAATCCATTCTAATCGATAAGATAAAATTAAAAATTTTCAGGACGTTTTGAGGAAATCATTCATGTCTCCAATTAAGACATTTACTACATAAACGCGGCAATAGCACAAATTTGAGTTCAATTATATTATGTTAGGCGTATTTGGGCTATTGCTTTTGATCTTGTACCGGTAACATTCATTCATTTCATTTATTCAAGGTGCAATGGGTCCACGCAAAGTTCAGGCGGCGACCAACTCGAAGAATTATAGTGACTCAGGGACTTCGAGGAACGACAGCATGGAATTCGAGGAGTCGAAACGAGCGACAGAACCAAGGTGGGAGTTTTGGGAGCTGCAACAAGAGGCGATGGGGTGTTAAATTGTATTTGAATACACTGGGGGTGTTAATGGAGATAAATATAACTGCTTGCCAGGGTTCGAAGAACGGCAAAGGTCAATTCTACGACTTGCACTGGACAGCTGGGGAAGTTAGGGAAATGCATAGAGCGTCATAGGACCTCTGAGTGGTTGCATCGAGCACCTGGGGGAGTTAGGGGAGTTGCATCGAGCGCCATCCTGGGTGAGGGTATATTTAATGAAATGCATGCCTGGCGAGTTTGTGAAAAACTTTAATTAGTACGGAAAACTGCCTGAAACATCCCAATCTTTGAACTTACTGTTGTAAGTCGAACACGAAGCCACTCATTAAGAGCTTTAGTCCACAAGAACGCAATATTCTTAAACAAGATAACACTTCTAAAGAAAATACCAAGAACGAAATAACTGAATATATTCATACATGAAATGTCACACGTAAAGCGGAAAATTGCTGGATACTTACAGAGAATGAGAATAGTAGTTAACAATGCAAGAGTAGAGCCAGTTCTGCTGATAGTCAATACTTTTCGATCAAAGTAACTTACTGGCATCCACTACGGTACGGAATAATATGTACATATGAAGACTACCCTAGAAACTTCACGACACTAACTCAAAAATGCGATAATCAATTCATCATAAATGACCATAAATTCATCTAAAGAAATGTGAGAACAAACTCATCATAAAATAAACGATAGATTTAAAATCATCCGTTACCTAACGAATTTCTGATCAAAATTTTGCCAGAAGAATGCTTAATATAAATAAACTAATATTGTGAATGTAATAAAGTTTAATGCCACTCAGGAGCAAACATTTTTATGCTGCACTGACACCATGTGAGCGGCCACGGTGGCGTCCGAGCCGTCTTATACTCCAGCACCAGCCAGCTCAACAGAACTTTTACCAGCAGGGCAGTGAGCTTGGTAATTGTAACACTTTGTTATTATGAAGGCCCTATTGAAAAATTATGAAGCAGAGTAAATACGAAAAAATGTAACTCAGGACTCACTGCAGTGAGTGACGGAGAGCGCATTTTCTCGTCGACAAAAACGTGAAGTCACGGATGGACAGACAGACAGACAGACAGACGGACACAGACAGACGGACAGACAGACGGACATGACGAGCACAATAATGCATTTTTTCCATGAATGAGAAAATGCGCTAAAAATATAGAACCAAATTAAAGATTATTCATACTGAATTGAATTGGTGTGATAACTGACAGGTTTTGAGAACAATGAGGACAAATTTATCAAGATGCGGCAATGAATCTCATGTATTATTCCTGGAAATGAAATGAATCACTATTAATAGATATCGAAAACATAAATTTTAACTATCACAGAATAACTATTCGCAGAAGTTTGACCAACAGGGAAGCGCAGGGTGCTTCACGAAAGCGACGTTTAATGAACGATCGCAAATAATAGGATTTTTCTCTAGATGGAAATAAATGCCAGTAAAACCGAAAAGATGAAACAATAATGAAGTTAAGTCAAAATTTGATAACACCAATATAACAAATGTTGAAATACACGCCAAAGATGCCTAGGATAATTGCGGTACAAAATAACGACGCATAAAGGGCTGACAACCAGTTATCATTGACAATTATTCTGTCCAATACGTGATCTTTGATTCACGATTCCTGTACAACTGAATAATATAGATAGCGAATGCCATCTATATTATTCCCGCAGAATTTAAAATGCCCACGCGAAAATTGGAATATTTTATTGTATTTTTAGCGCATTTCCTCATTTATGGAAAAAATGCACTATTGTGCTCGCCATGTCNCAGAGCTGCGAAGTGCAAATCTGGCAGTCGCGTCAGAGATCAGGTGTCTCTGTGGCCCAGTTACCGACGTCCTCGCTGAGCTCCTATAACTTTCCCCGGGATTTTTTAATTTGTTGTAATTAAGATTATAGCAAGAAATGCGGAGTCTTTTTTCCTCTAGATTTATGTAACTGATATTGAACATGATCAACTGAGCAACTCATTTTGTATAAATTGCGAAGATATTTATCCTGGGTGTATGAGTACGAAGAATTATTATTTGTATATTGTGTCCATTATAATATATTTGCAAAAAATTGTAAAGTTATTCATGGGAAAGCTGTATATAACCATTTTCTGTTAAAGGTCGTCGGAACCGCATAATGATTTTTCCAAGAATTATTCACCATTAATATTAAGAATGATTAAAATCGAAGCCAGCGCGTCTCCAGGATGTCAGACGTACAAGCATAGGATTTGCTGTCAGGTTTTGTTTGCGTCGAAAATGCGGATGCTTGGAATAAATATATTCTGATTCATGATATTTTCTTTAAAAAGTCAGAAAAATACACGAATGCCTCAACTTTTTTGTTTATACGCAGCGAAATTATATCTGGGTGCACCAATGAAATAGTAATAAATGATAATTTTTTGTATATGCTAAAATACAATCCGAAGCTTCCTTATCGCATTTATGGCTATAGATCCGGCTACAGCAACGATAGATTATCGCATGAGTACGCTGCTCTGAGATAGTGACTGATAAAAAGCGTTGATAAGCATACGATAAGAAGCGTTGCGTGGCGAAATATGCCACACGACGAGTTGGTTGTGAGAGGTGCAGTGAGACGAATTGAAGGACTATATTCATCTTGGTAAAAAGCAATTGCCTTGATTCTTCCTGAGCTACATAATATTTTTGAGCGAGGGCCTGCTATTGAATGAATTCTGGACCATAAAAGTGCACCATGTCATCAAAGAATAATAGCAAAAACTGCATAAGATCCGTCATGTTAATGATCACAAGTGTTTTTCAAGGAACTTATGGCTATGTTTAGTATCACTAGTGTTTTTGAAGCGTCCTATGGATATGTTAAGAATGACTGGTGTTTTTGAACTGATTTATGTTTAGTACAGATTTCGGTTGCACTAATGTATTTCATTTTTTGTACCAATGCACCAGTGGTCTATTTTACATTCAGGAGGAAAACTTATCATGAAAAGTCAACAGTAGAACCAATGGCTAAACTGGCCTGCTTCCTCTTTTATAACCTAACAGAAAAAACAATTTTACTAACTTAAAGTTGAAATTATTTCAAATACTAATTGAAATTATATACTAAGTACTAATTGAAATTATTTCAAATTCAGTGTCAGTTTTGCTTCGTTCTCTTGATAATTTCGAATCACTTTCTAGCCCATACAAAATGAATTCATTTTTCACCTCAGTTCGATCTATGTTATCGCCGAAAAAATCTCTGCCAAACGAGAGTCGGAATGAAGAAAACAATGAATTGCCCGAGAGGATTCCTAATGAGGAGGCAGAGGGTCATCGTCAATCATCAAGGAAAAAGAAATTCAGAAGTTTTACCGGCAAACGTAGCTTGAAAAATAAATCTTCATTGCGACCCAGTAATACGAATTTACAAGACCAAAGTCACAGTAATTCTCCTGCTTATGAAGGGAAATTTCTGCCAAGATATGGAACTCTGCCATCACGTACGCATCCAAACCTAAATTCACAGGGGCGACCGCAAACCATTAGCAAAGGCCACTCAATGTCGCCCGGGACGAAAATGCCATGCGAAAATGGCTGGGACAAAATATTTCAAGATCCGAGATATCCATCTACAGTATCTGGAAATTCGGTCGTTGAAAGACCAGTATTCCGAGAGACAAGCGTCAACTTACCTCAACGGTCGGCGCTTCGGCCGGAGGATTCACGCAGACAGACTCGCTATGGGAAGAAGCCGGATATATTGGAACTCCTCAGTAAAAACAGGTCAGAGAGCCTCATGACCGTTAAGAGGGCAAGGTACAATGTAGATCAGGTCAGAGAGCCTCATGAGCGTTAACGGGCCAAGGTATGACTTGGAACAGTTCAGAGAGCCTCATGCATGAGCGTTTAAGAGGCCAAGGTACAACGTAGATCAGGTCAGAGAGCCTCATGAGCGTTAAGAGGCCAAGGATTGACTTGGAACAGTTCAGAGAGCCTCATGAGCGTTAAGAGGCCAAGGTACAACGTGGAACAGGTCAGAGAGCCTCATGATAGTTAAGGGGCCAAGGTAAAACATAAAAGAGGTTAGAGAACCCAATGAACGTTAAGGAGTAAGGTACAGAAAGAATCAGGCTTGAGAGCTTTGCGAAACAAATCTAACCGGACCTCACCCAAACCTCATTGCATGGAAGGAGGAGAAACAGGGCAACGGAGAAAGTATAACCTGCCATTGACTGCAAGAAAGTAGGGAGACGAGATAAATGTAAAGGTAGGGCCATGTTAGGTTAGATATCATGTATGAATGCGGACTTACTTCCAGATGTGACTGTGGCCTTACGGCGCAATGGCATTACGGGGCCCACGGCTGTAGTTACCCCTTAATTTTCATCCAGATTTAGAACTTAATTTCTGTTAGGTTAGCTAAGCTAGCATAATCTAACTTTTCAACTATCAGGAATCTACGAATCTATGGCTTGGTTAAGTGCAGGCGACACTGAGCCATGAGTCCGAATAATAAATTCCGTTTTAGCTAGAATGTTTTCTTTCAAAACATTAAACGTGTCCGACTCACAACTGTGAATGAGTTTTTATTTATTTGCTTGCACGTCTTAGTGCACCTAGTAGCACCTAGTAACCGCTTAATAATCAATCTAATTTCTAGGATTGCTTATCAACATCATATTTATTCACGTATTTATAACCTAATTTTCAGTTGCTATCACGGAACGATGAGCCGGGAGGCAGCGGACAGGCTGCTGCAGCGGGAGGCCGAGGACGGCTGTTATCTTGTGCGCCGCTCCACGCAGCGCCACCGCCGACTCGTGCTCTCCAGTGCGTATAGATGGGCACTTCCTGATGATGCTTACTTTGCTTCTATATTCGCAACGAAGCCGCATTTCTGTTGTTGCGTTGCCAAATATATGCAGAATGACGTCTTTCTGTTGTTCCTTGCATACTGATGTTCAAATATTACAAATTCATACCAGCTTCAAGTCACTGTTGTTCACTACTTTGCATTGCTATTCATAACAAAGGCGTATTACTTTTCCTTGTGTATATTGGTACGCAATGATGTTTTCCTGTTATTATTTGTAAGGGAAAGATATTCGTACTGGCCTCATCTCCCTGTTATTCAAGGCATTTCTTTCTTTTATATTTGAAATGGATAAGTCTCGGCATGTGTTATTATAGAATTTGATACACAAAATATTAGAATTTGATACATGAAATAATGCTTTGATTCCACGTCACAGTGGCGAATTTTTCTACTGTTTTACTACACTTGACAACCTTGTTGATATTTTCAATGTTCGCGATTAATAGAAGGTCCATGATTTTCAATGTTACCTAACTGATTTGTTTGTCTGCTTGAGATAAATTTGCTAGGATTCTCAATTGAAAATCATTAGTGGGCTAAACATATAGTTCTTCAAAGTTGTAAAAATAAAAGATTGGTGAAATAAATCACGGTGCAAACGAATGCCATATGGGGGCTAACGTAATTAAATTTTCTAAGTAATGCAGAAGGTGGGGCTTGTTAAATACTACTGACCACAATGCGATTAAACGTTTAATATTGCATATGGGGCGTTCCAAGTATGAACGCGTTCAAGAACAGACTAGATAAAGCTATGGAAAAATATATGTTCAGATTTGAAATGCCTAGCTCCTTATCGAACCCGGTGGAAGTCTAGTAGCTACTTCAAACTATCGCCAGTCATGAAAAGATCCGGTCAAATGACACGAGTTTAGATCTATGAACAAGGCACGAAAAGGAAAAGAACCGGCGACAGGCCACATCAGGCCTACACGTCAGCGCCGACATCACTATGTTATGTTATGTTATATCGTCGATTAATTATATATAATTATTTATTCGATTTAGGCGATTTTAAAAATTCGTATGGCAAATCTCTATAGAAGTCAATTCTAATTATTCTGATCTACGCAAATATGTCCGATCGATCGACAGTGTGAAATAACTTTTATTAAATTCTAATTGCGCAAATCAACCAAGAGAACTAAATGAAGAACTAAAACAGCGTTAACAAGGTCTCGAACTTTATCACTCAGTTAACTCGGAGGAGTTGCTGTACCATTTCTTCATTTAATGTACACGCGATAAGAGAGTATGTAAATAAAACAGTGATATAATGGGCTTACACACCTTATTCACGCAGTGTACTCGGAGGGGTTGACGTACCACGTCGCCATCGAATGTACTGGCGATGAGTGAGCATGTAATAAAACTGTGATAATTGGCTTACACATCTCTTTCGTGCAGTGTGCTCTGAGGGGTTGACGTACCACTTCGCCATTGAATGTACTGGCCATGAAAGAGCATGCAAATAAAACTGTGATAATTGGCTCACACACCTCTTTCGCGCAGTGTACTCGGAGGGGTTGACGTACCACTTCGCCATTGAAAGTACTGGCCCTGTCTCTTATACACATCTAGATGTGTATAAGAGACAGCTGCTATTGAAGATGTTCATACTCGGAGCGTCAACAATGCTATCAGGGAGGCTGTTCCACATGTCGGTGACTCGAAGCGAGAAGAAATGTTGTCGCGTGGATGTGTTCCAACGCTGTTTTTTTAGTTTATAGCCGTGGCCCCTGGTGTTGGTTCTTGTTTCAAATTCTAGTAACCCTTCAGGGACCTTGTATAGACCATGAGTATACTTGTATACTTCAATGAGGTCCCCACGCAGACGTCGATAACTGAGGCTTGGAAGCTTCATAATCTTCAATCTTTCTTCATAGGACTTGCCCTTCAAGCCTGGAATTATCCTTGTTGCACGTCTTTGAACCTGTCTCTTATACACATCTAGATGTGTATAAGAGACAGGTGTACTCGGAGGGGTTGACGTACCACTTCGCCATTGAAAGTACTGGCCATGAGAGAGCATGCAAATAAAACTGTGATAATTGGCTTACACACCTCTTTCGCGCAGTGTACTCGGAGGGGTTGACGTACAACTTCGCCATTGAATGTACTGGCGATGACAGACTGCAGCTGGAGCGAAGCAACCGAGCCTTCGAGAGCCTGGACAAGTTGCTCTCCCACTACCAGCGCCGGGCTATCATTAAGGGCTGCTACCTGTCGTCCCCCGTCGTACAGGTGAGGAAAGGTGTTCGAAAAACCGCGGACTTTACACTTACAACTTCTTCCAATGCTACTTGTCTTCACCTGCCGAACGGACGACGAAAGGTGTTTTAAAAATCTGGTCTATATTTAGAAATTTTTACAACGGCACCTATCTCACATCGTCGTACGGATGATAAAAATGTAAAAAAATGTGTTAAACTTATTCTTATGCAGTGGCTGTATGATTTTCACGTATGAGGGTTTAGTGGTTTGTGAATTAGTCGAGTCACTGTTGAATGCATCAGATGGAGTTGAATCGTCAATTAATTGAGATTTTGATATGGTGCCGCTGCGCCTTGGCGGAAATAATTTCAGGTATGTGTGATAAGTAGTTTCAAACTTAGGTGATTGACTGAAAGATGTTTGAAATAAACTTCGATCCCCTCTTTTGATGAACTTTAATCTCCAGCGAACGTGAGAAATATTTTAGTCTTGCACCAGCGCTGAGGCTGTAAATTGAACCTGTTTGTGGACTCAGGCGATTTTTAAGGTAAGTCACATATAAATGTATGGAATGAAGTTGGATGCTCAACTAACTTGAAAAAATTGGTAGTTTTTGTGCATTGTCTGTCTGTCCAAATTACAGACAATTACAGACCCAATTCCCGGTCTGTAAGCTCAGTTGTTTCTGAAGCAGGTGATAATACGATCTCTACCGAAAATAAAGGTGGATCGCTAGTAAAATTGAGTAATGGGATAATTTTACAATTGTTTATGATGAAGAGAATTTCTGGCATGTTGGTTTAGTAGTTCATGAATTAGGCAATTAAAGAATTGCTACCGCAAAAGGACTTTTAAGTATTTGGATCTTAATGAAATGTGTTTATTTTCCGCCTGAACGATGACTTTAATAATTTCAGGTATGTTGGTTTAGTCTTTCATTGATAAAGTTACTCACCGCTAACTTTCGTAAATTAACTGTAATATTTCAACTCGAAAAACGTGCAAATTTTTCACATGCGGTTTGGCTGTGAAAAATTCAGGTTTATTGGTTCAGTCCTCTATGAATTAGTTAGTTGTTAGTTTAGTGGCCACATGTTTAGTTTAGTTAGCTTAGTGGCCACATACTAGCGCTTCAGCCATTTAGCTATCTCACACCGGAAGTCAACATGAACATCACCAAAGAGGCGGAAGGTCTCAGTTATCGAAAGTTTCTTAAAGCAAAAAATCGTCCATCACCCACAAGGAGCGGAAGGTCTCAATTGTCCAGCCCGCTGAAGTTGACGCGAAAGAAGCAGCTAGCGTTAGCATCTCACAAAGATGAAGTGACTAGGAGGGACAGGTGACAAGCAACAGAAACTAAGACACTCGAACATGAGGTCGCTTACACGAGACGACATCGGCCTCCAGCACGAGAGCCAGAGAAGAGAAATGTAAGGAATCCTACCTACAAAAATAGCTTAACCCCACAACTGAGATCTGCTATCAGTCACCGCGAGCTCAGCGGTGGGGCGCTCAGGAACAATCCCCCTAGGAGCGCGAAATCCCAAAGGACTTCTGACGAGCACAGACACGCGTCAGAAGTCCCCCGAGGGGTATGAATTTGTTAATTAATCTGATAACTGTCCAGAATGAACTTGTATCTCCTCCAAGGTCGAAAATTTCTCTGAACAGTTAAGTTTAGTAGATTAATCTCCGAATTGGATAGAATGAGGGTGCTTCGTAAGTTCATTAATCACCAGTCCATTTTCTTCTATGTTATTCATCAGTATAATAAAAACTAAAAGGAATGCCGATTGATTTCATTGCGCGGTAACAAACTTCCACAAGTCAACTCCGACCAGCGGAGTCATCAGGCTCTATTTTGAGAGGTATCATCCCTCTATAATATTCCTAAGCCCCCTATAAATAATTTTATGTTCGTCTTTTTTTAATTCAATAAAATTATTTTGTATACGAAAAATGGTAACAAATTCAATGTGGTGTAGCCTGCGCATAAGTTCAAATAAATAATCATACAACTAGTCATTTTAAACTTAAATGTGGTCATAAATCTCAGAGGGGCTTAGCCCTCATTGTCCATGAAACCTGGGCCCTTAGCCCCCTTCCTCCAGTCCTTAAAATCTAGCCCTTAAAGCCTAATACGGCCAGGTCGCCCGTTTCAATCATATGTGGCACTGACAGTAGAGACGGTCTGGGGGAGCGCAAGGTCTCTGGCTCAACGCAGGTTTTTCTCCAGCTTTTTCTCTCCAAACGAATGCTTTCGAGCAATTGCCAGGTGCACGCACATGTGTTTATATAGGCGAAAGAGATTGCTTATGAATGCGTATTTCTTAAACGAGTCCGTGTCGCCTATTTTTAAGCGAGCCTACATGACGTTAAAAAAATTACGAAATTTCTGTAACATATTCTTCAGGAAGAGTCGTCGGATGACGATCACGATATCGAAATTTCCTCGAGGAACTTGAAGGTTCAGAAGTGCATCGGGTCTGGCAAATTTGGCACAGTGCTGCTGGGAGAGATGACTCGCTACGGTCGAGTCGCCCTCAAGACTTACGTGGGTGAGTACTGACAGAATACGTGTTATCAGTGGAAGCATTCTACGGTAAATAAAACCTTATTCAACCTCAACTTTTTCTGTGATGAACATTTGATATTTTCAAATTATATACAATATTATTAATTTTTTCAATCTCATAGTAATAATTTATGGATAAATAATTTAATACGTCTTAAAATGACGAAAAAAGTACCTTAGATGTGTGGCTGACATACATAAAGTAGTAAATGCATCTCTCACTCCATGATGCCACAGAGCCAACGTACAGCGGCCATGAGCGGGAAAGCTTATGGAGCGAAATCAACGTCATGAAGCGCCTGCGTCACCCAAATGTCATCCGCATGCTCGGCATCAGCATCGACGGCAGCAACGTGACCATGGTGCTCGAGTACGCCAAGTTCGGGGACGCTAGGACCTACCTATTAGGCCTGTCTCATGGTGAGTAAATGTTGTGTTTCTTCAATAAATATCTGTCGAAACTCAGCTATAAATATGCATGTGATAATAACTTTTTTCTCTGTTTTTTTATTGTAAATGTATCGCCTGTATTCACGTCTAATATGATATTTTTAGGCAAAAATTAAAAATTTCACGCTATAGTATACGAGTGCTATGCATCCATTACTAAGTAGTAAAACACCTCAATAGTATTTAGAATTATAGTTTTTCGTGACAAACAATTCAGTAAAAAAATACTTTTGTTGACTATAAGGCAATGATATTTATTCTGCCGAGCCAAATAAGTTAACGAAGAATAATTTTGATCAATGTCTAATAATATAAATTTGATCAATAATAATCAATGTCTTCGCAGCTGAGTGGGTTGTCGAGACAATTGTGGACATCGCACGACAAGTGGCCGAAGGAATGGCCTACTTGGAGTCTGTGCTCGTAGTACATCGGGACTTGGCTGCTCGGAATGTTTTAATAACTGCTCAGTTTCAGGCAAAAATTGCTGACTTTGGTTTGGCTGTGCGACTGAAAGTAAGTATGGAACATACGCCACAAGTAATGTACACAAGGTTGGCACTTACAAAATATCTTGCTGTTCTGATAATAGGAACTTTTTTCTTATGCTGTGCTATGACTGTTTACTGTAAATGGAATTACAGTAAAAAATAGGTAAATAAAAATAGATAATTTTTGTTTTAAAATCTGTAGATGGCGAATATATTGAATGCAAAGAAGGTTATAAATTATGGGTAAGAAACAGTAAAATTATTTCAGATTTTTCTAAGATTTTAGAACAGTTTTTTCAGAAAATATTTTTTATATTAACCGATAAATGAATATTTTATGTTAAGGTATCAGGCAAAATGTCGAGATAATTTTATAGATCAATTTTTGGAGTTATATTTGGACTCTTGCAATCGTCTTGGCAGGCCGGCGAGGAGGAGAAAGAAATTCAGAACTGGGGAATGCGACCTCTTCGATGGATGGCTCCTGAGAGCATCCTGCAGGGGCGCTTTAGCAGCAGGAGCGACGTTTGGTCCTTCGGCGTCTTGGTGTGGGAAATGTTCTACCCTGAGAACACGCCTTACATGGGTACGATAGAAGCGGTCACAGGGTGGCATAAACGAAAGGATGTTTTTTATATATATATATTTTTTAATTTGTCTTATTGTAACGCTCCGGCTTAATGTCGATGACACAATTTTCTTTCCTTTTGCAACTAAATGCAGCTAAGATGACGACAAAAGAGAAGAAACATGATCCATATAACACGAGAAAATATTTTGACACATTGACACGCTAAAGTTTCCACTTATGAAATGCATACAAAACAGAAATTAATGCGGTTTGCAAAATCTGTGCATCACTTTCTCGTTCCTAAGTTGGATAATAAAGATCGTATTAACGGGTCCGTAACAGATTAATCGAATAGTGATCTATAGCTACCGCTTGTTATCAGTAAGGATTCCGAAACAATGGCGTCCATTCATAATATAGCTATTCATTTTTTAATCATTAGAAAAAGGTTATTCAAGCGGTCATCATAATGAAAGAATTTTGATATTATTTATATCCTTATGACAAAACCATCGACCGGCTAGGCTACCAAGCATAATAAAACATGCCACGCTAACTTGTAATACTTAACAGTGCAGACACACGAATCTCTAGCAATTCTCGATATTTCTCAATTCTAGTGCTGAGCAAATGACTCTGGTTTTCTGAACTACGAGTTCATTTTAAATGTGGTTGTTCGTGGTGTGCAGGCATTACAGACAACGACCTCGCATCAGATTTGACGGACGGGACCAGACTGAAGCTGCCTTCTTCGTGTCCCGACGAGCTGTCCCATCTGGCCCACTGCTGCTGGTCCATTGACCCTGATCGTCGGCCCTCCTTTGCTAGAATCGTTCGCATTTTTGCTCGGCGACTTGTCCAAAACCGTAAATTCTATAGGTATTAATTTGTTTCAATTAATTTAGTTGTAGTATTATACAGAAAGGGAATTTTAGTTTGATGATTCATTGAAAAAAATTCTACAACTAAATACGGTATATTACTTTTTATACTCAGTAAAAAGTGTCGATTGTCAATACGAACTCATGAATAGAATCAGTGGTTTGATTTACAAAACGCCAAATGGTATGCGGAGAAAGCTGAAGTCATTCCCTAGACGATTGGAAAACATATTCTGTAAAATGAATCGTTACGACCGGTAAAATTCATTGTTTCGTATATCATGTGTAAATAAATACTCGTATATCATACGCAGTTATTTAAGAGTCAGTCTTTTGAAGAATAACACAAAATGATGATTGTGAGACCCTTAGAACTCTTTCCATATGATTAACACATCAACGAAATAATATTGGCATTGGAGCTAAATCAAAAAATTTCTGTAAAATAATTGATTGAAGTGTAATTACACATGATTTGATTATAGCGTTTTGAAACCCTAACGGCACCTGCAATGACAAGTGTGATCAGAAGAAGACCAAAATTTTTAATATAACATAACATAACATAACATAACATAACATAACATAACATAACATAACATAACATAACATAACATAACATAACNGGCAGATCGTTTATAGAAGCAACTAACAAAACAGGCCCAAGATCGTTTCCTTGCGGCACTCCACGGCGCACTGATGCCTTGTCTGACACGGTTGCGTTAATACTTGCACGTTGTCGTCTACCTACTAGAAAATCTCTGATCCATTGAAGTAAGTTTCACTCTATTTAAAAAGAATTCACTTTACGCAACCAGCGCTCGTGCGGAGCACTGTCAAATGCTCTGGCAAAATCGAGGTATACTGCATCAACCGGCTCCATTTTGTCCAGCAGGCGAGTCCAATTGTTCAATGTTGACAAGAGGTTAGTGGTGCAGGATCTACCGGCAATAAAGCCATGTTGAGAGTATGATAGGAGATGGTGAACAGTCAAGTGATCGATAATCCTATCCCTCACAACATATTCCATTACCTTACAAGCAACGTTTGTCAGACTGACAGGGCGAAAGTTAGCAACCGGGCTCCTTATATAAGCTTTTTTGAACAATGGTGTTACTCGAGCATCTTTCCAATCGGTCGGCGAAGTTCTTTCGTTCATGGTTTTTCAAAAGAATACTGTCAATGGGCCAGCCATTATGGCAGCTAATTCTTTGAGCAATCTAGAGTGGAAGCCGTCAATTATGAACGTTAGCGTTGCCCTCATCAGAGGATATCTTTCGTTGTTTTACTTTCAAATCAATAATACCGTCCGTCGTTTGTCTCACACTTTGAACTAGCATACAAAAAGAAAGCTTTCGGGTTCGTTTTTGCATTTTTGGCAATATTGTTTTTTAAAGTTTTACACTGCGGAGCGAAAGACTTTTTTAGCTTGATATTGAGCTTTTGTATACAGGTATTAAATCAACATCACTGCGAATTCGTGAATAAAACTTGAAGGCTTCCTTCTTGGTCTTGAGCTGAGCTAAAGCTGTATTGTTCATCCACTGGGACTTTTTGACTCCTCCAAGCGTAATCTTAGGTACACAGGCATCAGCTGCATACATAACTGTGTCTTTGAGATATGACCATGAATCAGCCATATTCATGTCCTTAATACAGTCCGAAATATTCGCAGCGTTAAATGCAACACAGAGTCTAACATAGTCGCATTTCGCAAAGTTCAAACGTTCACGCTTCCAGAGCGTCTTTTCTGCATAGCACTTAATAATGAAAAATAATTATTGGTGGTGGCTTTTGCCCAACCCTTGTGGCGAAGCTCATCTAACATTGATTCTTCACTAGTAAACACTAGATTTAGAATATTTGGGGTCTGTTCACCCATGAAATGGGATGGCATGGTGATGTTCTCAATTATAAATGAGTTTTAGACCATGTCTCACACAAACTCGGAACATGGATGCTGGAATCTGATGTAGGTAAAAATAGCGATGAAAATATTCATTAACCTTTATCTTTTATCCGGAAACCACAATGGTTACAAATTATGTTACAAATTATTTGCTGTAGAATATTTTTGTTGGTTAATCACCATATATCAAATTTTGGTTGGAACGTGAAATTTATGCGCTTGACGACTTTCATCTGATGCCGGTCTAGTACCGTTATTCCAGTTGACCCGTTGACAGAATTAAGTATAATGATTGCGATCCTCAACAAATGGTCTTATGAATTTTGTCTCTCATAAATAAAAAAATGGACATTTCGAATGCACAAAATTGCTTAAAATTCTCTTTCATGAGTCTGCGGACGACTGGAGAAACTCTTTGGTGAACTGCTGGTGCTGAGTGTGATAGTATAGTCGTATTGTTTACACTTATGAGACTTGTTCCTCGATTCAGTTGACTGTTCACATTTTTTAAAATTTTATGTGCAACAATTGTGCGATAAATCTGCAAAGATTGCGTCCCTTCACCTGCATGTCATTTTATTGGAAAGCCAGGTAAGTGCCTAGCCTTGAAAAAAAAATGCCTGCAGAAAGTGAAAATGTTTGAACCGTGACTAAAATCACACAAACAGAAAATCCATTACCTAGCCTAGTATGTTTTACAACCTTTGGCTTGGGGTTGAATCAGTTGAATCATGAATGTTAATCATGGTCAGGACTCAGGAACAGGAAGATGTGCCAGCCTGCTAGTGCCAGGTGCATAGGAATTTTTATTGTCATTTTATCAATTTGCACCCGCAATTTTGTGCTCACTGCAAATTGAAGAACCTATTGCTGTTTAAATCAAGGATGAGACTGAAAAAACTTGCAAACAAAGGTAAAATCTGGAAAATTGTCAGGAGCTAAACATCATCATTAGGTCCTAATGAATATGTGTACTAGCCTACTAACATATCCATAGTCCATAGTGACACTGGCAAAGCAGAGAGTTTTTTAGACTCTCCCTCCCTCAAGCCTCAAGTTCATTTTTGAGTCCTATAAGTAGACCAGTAAAGTATCATGGATACCAGCATTATCATACTTAAGAAATTGTTTAAATCTAGAGGAAATTAAAAATAAACTGACTAAAAAATCTCTGGTTTGCCCCTAGCCTATGCATCGCACATCTGCCACATCACATGACACATGACTGAGTGACATGACAATGTATCAGCATTGCGTAAAAGTCTGTAAAGTGTAAAGTCAATGTTGCCATACCATTATGTTGGGAATTTTTGAATTCTGATAACAGTTATGTCTAGACATATATTATTTAGTATTTACAAAAGATTTTGCACTCAAAACTATTTTTAATTATTTAGAATGATGAAATTATTAATGACTCTTTTCATTAACTGTAGAACCTTTAATAACCCTATTAGTGCACTTATAGTACCATATATAGAACAAGCAAAATCTGTCATTTAACACTAATATTTGTTTACTTTGTATGCCCAATTTCTGAGGACTTGGTTCTTCACCACTTGCCTCATGTCTGGATGGAATATTGCCTCACGTCCGGACGGACTACGGAAGACAAAAAAAAAGGTTCCCATAAGAAATGTGCAAAAAATTTCTTCTAAATAAATTTCTAGATTTTTATTTTCAAAATATTTCCATATCAAGGAAAATCATAGATTATTGATGGATAATTAAATGCATATCGAGTATTTTAAGTTTTGTCTCTTATCCCTTGACAAAATGTATGCAGTGTGAATTCTGTATAGGTAAAATATTCTCATGTTGAAGAAAATATATCGAAACCCTACCATGTCACGTTACACCTTCCACTGCAACAAAAATTGATACTGAGCTCATCAGAAACTGCCGCGCTACCGAAATTGTGCGTGGTTTAAAATCCAGTACCGCGTTGGCAATGCCTCCCTCAATCAAGTTCACTAGTCGTTTATCTGTAGTTGACAAATTTTTGCAATGAATATGTTCTAAAATAAAAAAAAATCATATCCACCTTTGCTAAAAATTCTCACAATTGGACAATACCAATAAAGTTTTCGATACCATACAAAATTACAAGATAAACTGCAACTTTTTCAAGGCATACATTCACATCATTCTTCTACTATTACATATGACAAGGCGGTGTCACACACTTGTTTTGGTTCTGTCTAGATTGATTTCACAATAAATAGATTTGATCCTCATCCCATACTGAGATTTAAATGATGGAAAGTTGTTTTAAATGATAAAAACCCATGGATACATTCCAGATTTGAATTTTTTTCATTTTTTTGCCCTATTATGTTGAATTTATCTTGATAACTTCACTTCAAATTCTGAATGATTTTGTCTGCCATCGCAAGTTTTCAAACGTTTCGTGTATTTTAGAAAATGTTCATTGTTTGAAAGGGGAAACTATTTCATTATATAGAACATAGAGCATGTACCATGAGGTGCATTAATAATTCAATTTAATTTAATAAAAATTCATTTTTAATTTAAAAAATGTATACCATAAAATGGGGTAACTTAGACCACTTTTTTTCTTATAAATGATGCCATTTTCTTACTAGCTAAATTAAACTTGAATTGAAACGTGCAAAATACAGGTCTATACTCTAGCTTCATAAATTGCTGGCTCCTGCCTCTCATAGTCTTTATGTAATTTTAAAAAAAGTGATGGTCTTTGTTACCCCAGCTCTTGGGGTAACTTAGACCGGGTGGTAAAATCAATTATTTTTTTTTGTAAAATAACTCCAAATAACTCATATATAAGACTCTGTAGAGTCTGAAACATAAAGAAAAAACATAAATAGGCTGTCAAACATAAAATATGTTATATATGGTAATTTTATATTAACTTCCAAGTTGGTCTATGTTACCCCGTCAGGGCTGACATTAGGTGGTCTAAGTTACCCCATTTGGGGGCGGCGCCCCCCATTTGCAAACTATGACACTTTCCTAAAATTTGTCATTTGCATATGTAACTAGAAGAGTTCTACTGCAATGCATCAAAACCTGGAGTTATTTAACCAAAAAATGAAAAAATTGGAAGGGGTACTCTGACAGGCTTTAAATAATAGCTTTTTTTCGTGAGTCACATTTTTAATTTTTTAACCTATTAGATATGCAAACTTTTTAAATCTTTCTATTGTATTATGTAGCCTCAGTATTAGGCCTTTAATGCCCATTGACAAAATTTTTCGATGTCAAATAGTTTTTGAGTTGTGGGGGTTTTTGTAAAAAAAACGAAAAGTGGTCTAAGTTACCCCGCCAGTCTAAGTTACCCCATTTTACGGTATAGACTTTCAATTCAATATTTTTCTAATAGAATTTAATTCTACAGCATGTACCATCAAATGGGGTAAAAAGGGACGGGTGGGGTAAATAGTGAAGCGCGTCCCACATTTCGTAGAAATGTTGTAGCAGCTAAACTAATCAAAATATTGCAAAACTAAAAATAATGGCATAAACTTCAACATTTTCACTACCTATTATGTACAAAGCTAGTCAAGAAATCAAACAATTACTATCTCTAAAAAATTGCTGAAAAAGTGTGAAATGTGCGATTTTGGAAAAGTGCCTCTGCTAAGGTCTGGAGCAAAAAAAATATTTGCCATATTGAAAAATTTTACTTACATAAAAAGTTGCACCCAGGTGTCGGCTTGAAAATGTAATTGACAGAATTTGCCCACCTCATTCAAAAAAATGGCAGCCTTTTCCGCGCGACGGGGTAAAAAAAGACACCCCCCCCCGGGGTAATTTGTGACACCCTTAAAAATGCGTTTACAGTAGAACCTTGGTTAGCAAAGGCTCCAGTTAACAAAAAAAAAATTGATTAACAACAAAGAATTTTGATTACATTTACCTTGCTTGGCAAAAAAAATTCACTTATCAAAAAATTAGTGCATCATCTGTCATCACAAAATTGTACATAGAATGGTATATGTAGAATTGTGCACTGGGCATCATAGAATGAAAAGTAATTGACCTAAACTATGATTTTTTCTTCAAAACATATGATGGTTGTAACTAAAACATTATTTTCTGTTTCAGGTATGTTTTTCACAATCTTTTTTGTTATAGTGAAATCATTCGACTTGATTAAAATTGTGCGAGATTACAAACCATCCTGTAAGCTTACAGATACAGAAGAAACACTACATGGCTGCTGATATGAAGCTTGCAGTGGACAAGGTCGTTGTCAATGCTCAATGGCATGTCCATGGATACAGTAATATCACATTAATAATACAGTAATTAATGAATATGGGACTATCATATTAATAAAGGAAAAACAAAATCACAGAAAATGTCATTTATTTTACATCTACATCATCTACAATGAAAGAGGAGGACTTCAGAGTACTGTTAGCAATAGATGAGTACACTCTGCATGCTTCAAATGTTTGAAATTGAGTTTTGTTTCTAGTGTCCCTTTTTACCCTATTTACCACGTTTTTCTTGACTTCATTTCGTGTCCCTCTGTCATCAAAAATTCAAACCTCAATTTAGAGTACCGGTACTTCTAAACATCCTAGTAAGTTGAAATTTGGCATGCATGTTTATGCTGCCAAACAATTCAAGATTTAATCATCAGAAATAATAATTAAAAAAAAAATTTTCTGAAAAAAATTAAAGAAAAAGTAAAAAAAAAAAACTAAAAATTAATGGTTTGGAATTGAGTTTTTCTTGAACATCCACACTTGCCAACCCTAGAAATTGATTTGTATTGTGCCACAAACCAGAAAAACCATGTTTTTCTGGTTTTTACAAAACTAAAAATAGTGAAATAAAACAAATAAAAAAAACCTTTAAGAACCATGTTTTCTTAACGGACAAAAAAGAAAAACCTTTACTCTTACATAACATTACATGACATTTTACATGACTTGAATTTTATGTAAGAGTAAATGTTTTTCTTTTTTGTCCGTTAAGAAAACGTGGTTTTAAAAAGTTTTTTTTATTTGTTTTATTTCAAGATTAAGTCAGGAGCCTTTTATATTGCGTCTAGCGCCTTACAAATAGCATATGGAATTTTTTTTAAGATGCCATTCGATAGCCCTCGCAAAGAGCTATGAAATGAGCCTAAACTTGTTTCTGAAATGTTTCATGGTAAAAAGTTATTAACAAAAAACGTTCAAAACCGTCCCTTTTTACTCGTTTGATGGTACCATATAGTGTATTAAATAATAGAATTTATTTTAAATCACTTTTTCAATTCAATTTAATTCTACAGCTTCAACCTGTAATAATGAGCATCATAGGAATTAAAGTAAAATTGTCATTCATACATCCCAAATTGAATGACAATGAATGGATTTGATAGGTATTTTATTAATACTGTTTATATATAAGAATGGAAGTGAAGCTTCTATTTCAGAAAGATAATGGAAATGTCCCTACTATTTCAGAAACTGTTCTTGAATAGGTACACTTGCAAAAACTAAAGTTCTGTAATCAATAGAGTCTTTGAAATGACAAAATTGTTCAATTTAAAATTTTTAGCTATATATATGAGTGAGATCGTCAATCATCATAGGAGCTGTAAGAAAAAA